GTTAATTACTATAAGGGGACGACTTTGTTGAATAAACGTAACTATATATATATATATATATATATGTATGTATAAAGCAAAACACAAAAAATGAGCTACCAATGCCTTTGCCTTTGTTTGTATGATTTTCATTTTATTTGATTTTTTATCGAGTCACGTCAATTATTTTCAGAACGCAATTGTTTTCAAAATAATTTTCGTAGAAGTTTTTATGCAGAAAAGAACAAAAAAGAAACAAAAAATATATCTTACTATATATGAAACTTTTATATCAGTACACTACTTAACATTCTAAAATTATGAAACATGTAAAAACATTAGTGGTATCACAACTTTCAGAAGTACTATAGCCAATATAAAAAGGAAAAACAACAACAATTAACATTAGCACAATTACTTCTCTGAATTATGTTATTAATAACAGTGAAAAAGAAAACTTACATTAATAAATAGAACAATATAAAATTTAAGGAAACATCTCATTACCCCTAATCATGATGCAAGTTTAAAATAGAATTTTTTTGTATCTAAGACTATATATATAATTTACTCGTACACTGTGAAACATTTCACTGTTTAATTTACAGTAAAATAAAAGACTTGGAGTTGAACTGCTAGATCTTTTACCGCACAAATAAATTCAGAATGTTAAACTTATTTAGGTGTCTTCCGTTATATCTACAGCAATTCAGTGTTAAATTTCACTGGAATTTACCATAAAATATTTGTTTTACCATGTATTTCAAGTGTTTTTTACTGTCAATCCATGAAACAATACTTTAAAATTATTCTATAATCCATATAAAATGTATACTTACGCATGTATTTCTAAAGTTTGTTTACAGCCATTTCACAAATAAATATTTTTTAATTAGTGGTTTATCCACATAAAATAATTGTTTTATCATGTATTTCAATTGTTTTTCAATGTCATTTCACAAAGAAACATTTTTAATTAATGGTTTATCCACATAAGATAACTTTATTCGTTAGTTATCTCTGCGTTGACAGAATACCCTTTATGGTTTCTATAAACATGACTTTTGAATGTATTGTATTTAGTGAATTCTCGTATGCAAACTGACATACTATATAAAAAAGCTCCATGCTTCATTTTTGTTAATTGTATATTGATCTATGTAAGCCTTTTAGGTCTGAAAGGATGCCTTACAACATTTACATGTAAAAATCTTGAATTTTGTATGCTTACATTTTAATTGGGACAAATGTCATACGTTAATCAGTATAGAAGGGATTAATCCTAAAACCTACAATATTGCATCACTTTCTTTAGTCCAATGGTCTCCAACCCTGGTTCAGTTTGCTTTATAAGCCCAAAGCAACAACCAATACGCTGCAGACAAATATACTTGTTGAACTATGTAAAAAAAAAAAACATAAAAAATACTCTCAACTTAAAACAAACATATGGGAAAAAACTAAAGCTTTACAAACTCTTATTTCAAGGCTTACATACGTGCTCAAAATATCACACGACTATTTCCTCGAGTCGAATTCAGTGAAGTCATAATGAATAAAATGCAAATGAAAAAAGACGACAGGCTCTTGTTACGCTATTAACACATCCTTCCGACATATGGGTGAATCAACACGAGGCAGGCAAATACAGTAATGTTATAACATGACAAAAAAAACTATAGTGTGAAAAAAATACTTACACTCACTTGAAAAATCATAAATGCGTTTACTCAAATTCCGTAAAAAAAAGTTTCAAATTTTAACATGACAAGCACACCTACACTGGCCCGCTAATAATAATAATAATTAAATAATTCTGTTATCTAAAGCTAAAGAAACATCTGAAAGCAGGATGTGTTCTGAGCAGCCTTACCAAACCTAAGTTACTTGGGCTTTTCTGTCTTACACTTTTGTATGTGCAACAACGTCTCCCCAATACAAAATGGCCTTCAGTTACGTTTTGTGCAGCTTATGTTAGGCGTATGCAGATTATGATTATAGCGCATCAGAAGCCGAAAGGAGCTCCATCTTTAATTCGAATTAAAGTTTTTCTTGTTTTTATCTTTTTTTAAATCTTATCTTAGCTTATATAATTAAGTACGTATATTTTGAATAACTGCGTTCTGGTAATACAGCAGAAATCATCTGATTGTTTTTCCTATAGTCGTGGCCACTATGGGTATAACAATTGAAAATTTGTCTTGTTCCTCAGCCAATTTTAAAAATACATAAACAATTTTTATCTTAAAAGATAATAGTTTTATAAATGTAATATAAATTTAAGACCGGAATTTTTAAAATTTTATAATCAATATTAATTCTTATTTGCTACAATCTTTATCAATTTAGTACTATTAATATCAAATTAATACATCGTACGAAGTTCTTAATCATAAAAAACCCTTAAAGTATTCGTTTTTAAAGACAATTTATGTGTTTAGAAAATGTTATATATATATATATATATATATAAGATAAATTTCGACCAGGTCAGCTGCATGGTCAGAGTCAGAGTGCTAACCCTTAGTAGGGACAATGCAATTGTGTATAAAAACAAATGTTTAAGTGTCGTAGTTCACCAATAATAATTAAAATAAATACGGTCTTTTTTGATGACGAATTATTTTTTAAAGCAGTTTTTTACTGAATTCAGTGAATATGGCAGTATTTTGAAAAATAGTTCTAGACAATAAAATACTGACAGATAATTTCAGTACAACTTAATTATATATATATTCATTTTTATGGTATTTTGCACGTTATTTTAATGTTTTTAACTGTGTTTTCAAATACGGTTTTTAAGATTGAAAAATATAAGTTAATTGTATGTATTTTTATAGGATTGTTTTACAGTATACTCAGGATTTTGTTGTCATGTTACATTGGAGAATGAATGCTTTCCACTAGGTGTCGTGTTTTTAGATCGTCGCACATTTTTAAATTTACTTTCACAAACATCTATATTGATAATTGTAACTTAGAAATCCAACAGCTTAAAATCAACTCTTAAAAATACGGATACTAGTTTTGAGTTCACATTCTCAGCATCCATTTTAGGTTTATTAATTTTTCACGTTAATGACAGAAGACCTCTCAAAGGGAGCTTAGTTCGATAATATCAATCCGAAGACTGATACTTGTTAAAACTGAGAATATGGGATGATAATGAAATAGTAATTATTTCAATCATTGTTGGGCACTTTTACAAAAACTTTCAGGAGATTGCTAGAACACGTTTTTGTCTGTATACTGCTGTACAAGAAATATCTGTTACCAATGACTTAAAACACTTACCGGCAAGATAACCAAGTTAACCAAAGGACCGGTATTGATGGAGTTATGGTTTTATGCTGAGTCTATGCTGGCTTTATCAACACTTATAACACAAGCAAGTCAAACACACACACACACATATATATTAGTATCTCATTTAAGATAATTACATGAAAGAGATCGGCGTAATCTACACATAATGTCTAGAGAATAGAGAACAAGGTTTGGCGCTTATATGCAGAGCTTCACAAATTAATCATAAAGAACAGGAGATATATAAATAACTAATACGTTTCTGAGCATATAGTTTCTGTCTCTATAAAACACAGATACTATACGTTACCATGCAGTGTAGGAGAGCATGATCATGTATTATGAAGTAAGATGTGTGACTGTGTTTATCATCTTCAGTCTGAATTCTATATTTCCTTGCCCCTTAGGACTGGAATACGATTACACTGTTTCCTGTGACAGTATAGAAGCCGAGTTGTCGGTCAACTTAATGTTTGATACTCTTGAGAAGATAAGATTGATTTTATAAGTTACTAATCTTTCAAAGTATGATTTTATGGCTGCAAAAATGAGAAAATAACCCTGACTTAATCAACCGTATGGAAGATTGGGTTATTTCTACTTTTCTGGAAACTATGATTAAGTGTCACATGTTACAGACGTTAAGTGCGTGGTATTAAAACGATTATAGAGCCTCAGCAGATTTTTACAGTTCATGTCGCCATGTCCGGTCTTTCGCTATCTAAAGGCCGTGCATCTTGACAATAGCCCTGCGCGTAGTTTCCATCGCAAAAGACTCCATCGTAAGATTATCATTTCAAAAGCACGCCACTGCTACATTTATGCTTCCCACAATCCATCTAGTGTACAGCCACGACGATTACCCAGCGTCCGCGTCTGTCAGACAGAAATCCATAGGCGCTGCGTCTGGAGAATTGACCAGCGGTATGTTTTTTGTATTAAATAGTATGGATACCCGTTTCATTCTCCAGATGCTTGAAGTATGCGACAGCTGAACAGGAGATATAGCTGGAAGCCTTATCTTGATGAGCACATGCCCTGTTTCCCTTGTTTCCAGTGAGAGACCTTTCTTGATAATGCTGCTTAATGTTGTCCATAGCACTTGTACAGCTTTTGGCACTGATTATTGATTTGGTGGATTTTCAACTGTAATAATGCGTCTCACTTTGCTCACCATGGCTGTGGTAAGACTTCTTGGTGATCTGTTACTTGATAGTCCTGGTTCCCCAAACTGAACCATATACCTAAAAGACGTCAATTTTTGGTGGCATCACAATACTCACAAAACGCCAAACAATGCCACTATTTGGTTCTAATACATTCCTTTCCACCGCGACTTGATACTCAACTCTCTGTAGTACCGAAAGCCACATCTTCCCCAGAGATAATGCTTTATATACCTTTTTCGAACAATGGTACTCTAGTGGTACTCTTTTTCAGAGAACGTCAATTTCAATGTTACTCCACTCCTTACTTGTAGCTTTCCTTCCCCAGATAATATATTATGTCTAGGAATTCAAAGATAACGCTTAGCTAAGCATGCCATAGGCAAAAAGAACCATTGGAGCTGCATTGTAGAACTTGATAGGTATAAGGTTGCATGAAATTGCTGTGCTTCCAGTTCTTTTGTTGTTGTTTTTTCTTTGATTTTTTTCCTGAAAACAACCTTTGGTGTGGCGTATGAGGCTTTATCACATCCTTGTATATTTTGTTGACAGTACAAAATATGTCTAATTTCATCGAAATAACGTTTTGAGATGGATGGTTCTCCTTCGTAATCAAAGTCTCCACTTTGTTAGTGTTATTGTTGTCGTTTGCAGTAAAGCACAAAGCTACACAAAGGGCTATCTGGGATTTGCCGAACACGGCTATCGAAACCCGGTTTGTAGCAGTATAACTCCGCAGATATACCGCTGTCCCACTGAGGGGCCGTTGTTAGTAAAGGTGTTGCTATGAATTGGCCTGCAGGGTAGTTTCGAAGCTTTCTATTTAGCTAAAAGCACTGTTTCGCGAAATTTCGTCTTTCGGCATGAAGACATGGCCAGTGGTTAGGGCGCTCAACTCGTAATCTGCGGGTTGCGGGTTCGAATCCCCGTCACACCAAACATGCTCGCTCTTTCAGTCGTGGGGGCGTTATAATGTGACGGTCAATCCCACTATTCGTTGGTAAAAGAGTAGCCCAAGAGTTGGCGGTGGGTGGTGATGACTAGCTGCCTTCCCTCTAGTCTTACACTGCTAAATTAGGGACCGCTAGCGCAGATAGCCCTCGTGTAGCTTTGCGCGAAATTCATAACAAACAGCATGAAGAACATTGAAATATTTTTAGAAACGTTGCGCATGACTTTTAACTGTTTAACATTCTTTGCTGTATGGATATATATCTTTAATAAAAGTGGCCACGTACCTTTGCAGCTATTGATTACGTTTGGAGGCATTTTCAGTTCTGATCTACGCTATTTACTTTTATATGCTGGACAAACACCGATCCTGATATTCCTGGGATAAGCTACCTAATTTGCATACTTTGCCATAAGGCGTAAACAAACTCCTTGCAGACCAGATGACTTACACCTAATTCCAGCCTAAAAATATACAGATTCTATATTTTGAAATACCATACTTCTGTCAAAATAGCAGTTTTCGATTTTGTCTTGGACTTTCATAAGTTTTGTATTTCAGGACATTAGCATTTGATTATAGTGGTTTTTTGTTAAGATTATATTATCCAGTCCAAGTTTCTCAAGCCTGGCATAACTTTATAACTCGAATAACTTTATAGAAAAAATATATGCCATATAAAATCGCTTAACATAGGAGAATCTGAGATGAAATTCACTTTCAGTCAACTTAACTTTTTGTTTGTAACTACAACTAAACGCTATACAATCTAAAGAAGATTGTAGTCCATTATTGATATTTGAGTCAATATCAATTTATATTGATATTTGATATTATAGGTGACGATATTTGATCTTTTATCCATCCATTTCTTGGAACACTCCATCTATAGTAAGGCCCTAACTTGATTTGATCTTTTAAGCTAATACAGTTCTTGGTACATGAAGATAGATTATCTTAAACATTTACGTGTATAATTCATAAGTGAACAATCTCTCTGTGTAATTGAAAATGTTTTAAACTTATTTCAGTCAGAATCTACGTACCTTATTCCTACACATACGAGATTAACATTCAAACGGGTATTAACTCTTATTTTATTGACTCTTTACTGATCTCGGGGAAGGGGGGGGTCTTTTTGTGGGTGGATGGGTGGGTATATATTATTTGATAGATTTCTAGCTCTTTATAAACCACGGCACTCTCTCACTTCCATTTTTCAAGAAATACAATTAACTTCTAGTATTTTAAAATAGTTACGTAATAATCGTCTATACGTATATATATATATATTGTATCTATAAACAACAATAATTCGTATGACATCATTACCGGCAATAACTCTGAAACTAGCAAGATAAAAAATATTTTCTACTTCCTCAGCTGGGCGTAATCAATTAACCTTCTGTGTAAAAAAAAATATATTTTTCTTGTTGCTTTTTTTAAAGATGACTTTAAATACGAGACACAAGCATGTCTAGTTTTTATTGCCAGATATTAGTGATACAGCATGTCTAGTTTTTACTGCCAGATATTAGTGATACAGCATGTCTAGTTTTTACTGCCAGATATTAGTGATACAGCATGTCTAGTTTTTATTGCCAGATATTAGTGATACAGCA